CTTCCTTCCTTCCTTCCTTCCTTCCTTCCTTCCTTCCTTCCTTCCTTTAAATGAGATAAGAATGAAGGATCAGTTACATTCCTAAGGGATGTGAGTATTCAGCTCTGCATTCCTAGTGGCTCTGCCACAAATTATTTATTTCCGCCAAAGGAAGCCAATGACTTCAAATAGGGTCACTCAGAAGAATGAAGCCTTGACATTTTCCCGCTTCTCCCCAGCAACTCTGCTATAAGTTGTTGAAAAAGGTAGGGGCTGGACTTTCACCTCCCCCAGTGGTTTTTCTCTTCTTCCCAGAAACCTTCTTGTGCAAACGACAGATAGTCTTCGGTTTATGACCAAATTCGGGACCAGAACTTCCATTGCTAAGCGTTGTGGTCATTATGTGACTTCGTGCCTGATATTTATGATCTTTGTTGCGACAGTTGTTAAGCTAATCACTGCTGGCACTAAGCCAATTACCGTGGTCATTAAGCAAATCTGGCTTGCCCCATTGCCTTTGCTTGTCGGAAGCCCCCTGAAAAGATCATAAATAGTGATCACATGGCCCTGGAAAACTGCAACCATCATAAATATACGCCAGTTGACTTCCACCCAAATTTTTATCGTGTGACTGCGGGACTCTGCAGTGGTTGTAAGTGCAAGAACCGGTCATAAGTCACTTTTTATATCACCATAATAACTTTGAATGGTCATTAAATGAATTGTTATAAGTCAAAGACTACCTGTAGGCAAAGGAGGAAGGAGGTAGAAGTGCTTCCAATATTCAAGATTCTATCCAAGTCAGCTTTGCCTTTCTTCTGTCCTATTGCTGAGGGGGATAGAAAGAAAAAAAAGCTACAAAGCACATCTTGAATAGAAGCCCCTAGTCCAGGAGTTCCCAACCCCCAGGTCTCAGCTCGCTACCGGGCCATGACCTATTTGGAATGGGTTGGCCAGAGCATGCGCACGCAACTCAACTTGTGTGATTGGTGGATATTCACACGTGAGCATGCTGGCCCACCACTTGTGCAAGGGGGCTGTGTGTGCACGTGTATGCATCCCAGCCCGCTGCTTGCATAGCTCAATTCCCCTCTTCCCCCCCCCCCCCCCGGCCAGGCCGCCAAGCCACACACATTGGGGACCGCTGCCCTAGTCCACTTTCTTTCCTATTCAGATAAGGAGATAATGTGTATTTGGGAATGGATTGTGTATGGCTGGGGGCAAGGCGTTGACTCATAGTTTTAGATGTATTTGAGGTCAGCACATATCCACACAAATTGGCAATCGAAGCTGCTGATGAACAACTATACATTCCCCACAGCTAAGAAAAATGTGCCTACCCAAGATAATACTTTCTTTGAACATTTTGCCTATCAAATTAAAGCTTATATAACAGATTGTGAAGTTTTCACAACAAACATCATAGTTCGCTTTTTCAGTGTCTTCCAGTACTATCATATCTAAGACCATTGAAAGGCCATTCATCTGATTCAAAACTATATTCATGTATTTTCTTCTTTCTAACAGAGCAAAGCCAAAGAGCTGCCCCTTTCCGCCGTCCGATTTATGGAAGAGTTGGGTGAATGTGCTTTTGGGAAAATCTATAAGGGACACCTTTATTTACCAGGAATGGACCATGCTCAGCTGGTTGCAATAAAGACCCTTAAGGACTGCAATAATCCACAGCAGTGGACAGAATTCCAGCAAGAAGCCTCACTGATGGCCGAATTACATCACCCAAACATCGTTTGCCTTCTTGGGATTGTGACACAAGAGCAACCAGTCTGTATGCTTTTTGAATATATGAACCAAGGCGACCTCCATGAATTTCTTATTATGCGATCTCCACATTCAGATGTTGGATGTAGCAGTGATGAGGATGGTACGGTAAAATCCAGTTTGGACCATGCTGATTTTCTGCACATAGCTGTCCAGATTGCAGCAGGAATGGAATATTTGTCGAGTCATTTTTTTGTCCATAAGGATCTGGCTGCTCGCAATGTTTTAATTGGAGAACAGCTCCATGTGAAGATTTCTGATTTGGGACTGTCAAGAGAAATCTATTCCGCCGATTATTACAGAGTTCAAAATAAGTCCCTCCTGCCCATTCGTTGGATGCCCCCAGAGGCAATTTTATATGGAAAATTCTCTTCTGATTCAGACATCTGGTCCTTTGGTGTTGTCTTGTGGGAGATTTTTAGTTTTGGTCTTCAGCCCTATTATGGATTCAGTAACCAAGAAGTCATTGAGATGGTCAGAAAACGGCAGCTTTTACCCTGCTCTGAAGACTGCCCTCCCAGAATGTACAGCTTGATGTCAGAATGCTGGCATGAGCTGCCATCTAGGAGACCAAAATTCAAAGATATCCATGCCAGGCTGCGCTCTTGGGAAGGGATATCAAGTCATACTAGCTCTACGACGCCTTCTGGTGGAAACGCTACCACTCAAACGACATCTCTCAGCGCAAGCCCAGTTAGCAACCTAAGCAATCCCAGGTACCCTAACTACATATTTCCAGCACAAAGTATGCCACAGGGCCAAATAACTGGGTTTCTTGGCCCACCAATACCTCAAAACCAGCGATATATTCCTATTAACGGATATCCGATACCTCCTGGATATGCTGCTTTTCCTGCTGCCCACTACCAACCTGCAGGTCCACCCAGGGTCATTCAGCACTGTCCTCCGCCCAAGAGTCGTTCGCCAAGCAGCGCCAGTGGATCAACTAGCACCGGTCATGTGACCAGCTTGCCTTCTTCAGGATCCAATCAGGATGCCAATATCCCCTTGCTGTCCCATATGTCAGTGCCAAATCATCCAAGTGGGATTAGCATAACCGTTTTTGGAAATAAGACTCAAAAACCCTACAAAATTGACTCCAAACAACCATCTTTAGATTCTAGTATTCATGGGCATAATGAAACTGTGATTTCAGCAGAGATGTAATAAGTAAGGGAGATCTTTGTAAATGAATTTATTTACAATATGAACTAGAGGGTTTTAGAGATTTATATTCAAATATTTTATTGGATATTTTTTTCCAGCTGTATAAAGAGGTGTTTGCAATAAGTATCTTCTGTGAAGTTCTTAACAGGAAGTGCCATTCAAAAAAAAATTTTAAATGTACTAACACTCAACACTGTGGCTGCAAATTTATTTTACAAATAGTAAAGAGCAAAAGTATTTCTATGTTTTTAAGAAACATATTTAATCATGGGTTTTTTTAAGTGAAATGTTTTCTGCCTCAGCAGTCTGACTACTCTGAACACATGGTGATGAAATGTTAGGAAAATTAATTATACTTCTGTTGGATGAAAAATTCACTATTGGTCTGACATTATACCCAAATGCATATTCCAGAACAGTGTTTCTCAACCTCAGCTGCTCCCAGAATTCTCCAGCCAGCATATGGACACATCTTAAAACTTGCTGAGGTTGAATAATCTTGAGTCGGACTACAACGAAACATACTGCTGAATTCATACAATACACTAAACAGTGGTGGGATTAAAAATTTTTTACAACCGGTTCTGTGGGTGTGGTTTGGTGGGTGAGGCAGGGGAAGGATACTGTAAAATCCCCATTCCCTCCCCACCCCACTAACCTGCTTTCCAGCTCTGTTCTCCTGTGCAGGGCAACCAAAGAAGACCCAGCGGATTAACTGGGACTTGGGATGCAGAGAATAGATGGGGGTGGGGCCAGTCAGAGGTGGTATTTGCCAGTTCTCTGAACTACTCAAAATTTCCGCTACCGGTTCTCCAGAACTGGTTAGAACTTGCTGAATATCACCTCAGATACTGAACTAAATTTGTGAAGTGTTTCTTGATTAATCCACAGTTGCCTGGGTTCACACAACATATTAAGACATAAGCTAGGATTTACAAACCACAAGCTAGAGTTCAAAAATACTTCATATACTTACTTGGTGTGTTGTCTGAACTAAGCCATTGGTAGAGTTCACATTGTGATAAACAACCATAGATAGGTTTGTTATTTTTGGCTTAGACATTGAGGTTTCTAAATGCCAAGGCTTAGCATTATGTTTGATTTAGATCACTGAAGTTTGTTTAACAAATTAAATTTGCAGTGTTTGAAGGCTGCCAGTGACTTGTTTCACATACTAAGCCATAATGTGGTTTAAATTGGCTTACAAATAGCCCTTGAGTTGCAATCGCTCATTCAATAGTCAGTCAAACATGTGACAACTCTGAACAAAGGGGATTTACAATGTGTCCTCAGAACTCTGGCCATTGCAGCACCCCTCCAATCACATGATTGCAATTTCCAATATTCCCTGCCAGTTTCTCCATAAGCAAAGTCAGTGGGGAAGCCAGCAGGAAGTCAGAAGTTGCAGTCCTATGAGGCTCTTACTTAGTGACCCACATGATCCTCACTTAACAATGGCAACTGGGACTGTCACTAAATGATGCAGTCACATGACATCATGCTTTATGACAACCTCACTTAATAATGGCAATTTCAGGCCCTTGTAACCCAAGGACAACCTGTATTCTGTATTTGAATCCAGGCACTATATTCTGTAAATCAGGGGTGTCAAACTCCAGGCCCGGAGCCAGATCTGGCCAGCAGGGCTGCCCTGGAAACAGTGAAGGACCAGCCTGCATTGCCTCTGCCAGTGAAAATGGAGCCTGCGGTCCTCCTGAGCTCCATTTTTGCTTTGCAGGAGGCTGTCGCAGCAAAAATGGGGCTCAGGAGCCCATTTTTGTTGACAGAGCACTCAGGCCACCACAGGCGCCCTCAACACGAGTGCCCTTGAGCTGGCCATGCCCACCTTGGCCACGTCCACCCCAGCCCCCCAAGGTCAAACACAACCCTGATGCAGTTCTCAATGAAATCAAGTTTGACACCCCCGATGTAAATCATGTTTTTAATATTGGATTGACATTCCCCAAATTGGACCTTTTTCAACAGACCATGATTAATGAAATTATGATTTAGTAGGATAGCTAATTAGGGCCAATGTCAAGTATCATTTTTATCCCATGCTTTGATACTTATGGGACATTCATCTGATTTGTGTTTTGTCTTCTAGACATCCATATTAGAAATTAAAATGATATGCAATATCAAATATTTATTCAAGCTATAATGTGTTTTTAGGGGTTTTTTTCCCAACAATTTGTAGTCACTAGTTTGTGATTTTTGGACATATGATCTGTGAATCTAGTCATCCTGTTTGCCCTTGTTAGATAAATTATTTTCAGAAAACAGTCTTTAATGATAAATTACAACCATGTATAAAACTCAAAATGAATAATTTTGTATTAAGAAATGTGTTCATAGCAGAGTAAAGCAAAGAAGACATTTTTAAAAAAACCTTCATGAAACCACATACATTAAATGAATGAAAAATATATTTGTTAATTTTATATCTGTAGTTGCAATAGAATTTTGTATCCTTTTGTTGCTATGCAACCCTTTAATTAAATATTTCAATTCTTTTTATAATAAACAGACAATCAGTTTTCCCAGTAATATTTATTATTTCAATTAAATCAGTAGCTTTTCTAGAGTTATCCCTAAAATTCTACATTCCGTTAGATGTACACAATAATTTTCTAGAAATTGCCTATAATTTTTGTATGTCATTTCAAATAATGTGAATTAGAATTATTTTTTACTAGAAAATATGGCCTTTGTGTTATTGAAATTTATGCAAATATAAACTATCAAAATAATTTGAAACCACTGTAAAATTGTATAAATGACAGCTTCTCAGAAGTTTTTAAAATTTGAATAGATTTTGAATGGATTATGTCCACGATCTTTCCGACACTTGACGTAATTTTCTTCTTTTTGCACAAAAATGTTTTTGTATAGCTGAATTTAAAATACATCTTGCTTTTCATTTTTTTGGTTTATTTCTCTTTTTTTCATTAATGAAGATATCTTGAAATATAGAGTGACTTGAGGAACCGTTTTGATTTTATTTGGTTATTTTCACTGCATGCATTTATTTACTGTATTACTTTATAGATTGTTTTCATTAAGATTATTGCACTAAAGCATGTGTAATAAGGCATGACTATTTTATACAGACATTAATTGCATTTTTGTATCTTGGACACTAGAGTAATATTAAACACTGATTATTTTAAACCACTGGTTTTGAAAACATGGCTAAGATAAAGATAGAAGAATATCTTGGGGAACATAATATAATAATCATACAGAGAAGCTCATTTAAGGAAACTATATCTTTCTCACCATCTGCTTCCTTTAAATATCACATAAGACAATTGTTTATTGATTACTCTTAATTCAAAAAAGTACTTTCTTAATAAGCATATCATTTTACATATCAAAATGCTACATATGAAAAAAATAATGCTAAAAACAATGGATACAAAAGCTGCAAAATGAAAAAAAAAAAGCCCTGATGAAAAATTTTACTGCCCAGTTCTCAAAGGTTTCACAATAAATCTGTTTCTAATCTTTTGGCAAATATGCGTACAATAAAAAAGATTTTGCTATTTATAACCATCAACCCCCGTGGAAGACAAGAAGATATAGAACAGAAACTTTGATATGGATGCTACTTAGTAATTTGTCCCCTGTTCTTGCCAGTAGGTCTAAAACAGCAGTCGCCAACCAGTGGGCTGCCACTGGTGGGCTGTGAGAAAATTTTGGTGGACCACAGAGAAATCTCACCCCCAGAGCAATTAATCCAGGCTGCACAGAAACACAAGGCTGCACTGCCCACATGGCCTGCGGGAACCCACTCACTCCTTACCCTGTAAACTTGCCTGCTAAATTGCTATTTTTCCTTTTTCCAACCATCATCTGTTCTGCTGTGCTGGGAGATTTCGATTAGCTAGGAAGCAGGAAATGGTTGGATTTCTTGCTTTCTAGCTAGTCTTTAGATCTTCGGCTCAGCACAGCCGAACCTCCCTTAGGACTGAAGGTTTGCTTTTTGCAAGCAAATTCGGTGCAGACTCATGGCAAGCAAATTTGAGAGACTGAGCTAGCCAATGGCAGATAGATAGATCTCTGAATGAATCTGTGATTCTGTGAGTAACTCAATCTGCCTGCCTGCTTTGCCTGATTTTGGGTAAAAGTTGCTCTGTTTTTATAAAAAATTCAATATTTATATAAATATTTATAATATTTACATACAAACCATACCCAGCCAGTCACATGACTACCAAGCCACATCCACAAATTAGGCCACGCCCACAGAACAGGTTAGTGGTCCCTGGGATCTAAAATTATGAGTTGGGTGGTCCCTGAGGTCCAAAAGGTTGGCGATCCCTGGTCTAAAATGTTTGTGGTAATTAATATATGTATAGGAGTTTGTGAAAAACATTGGCCATAAGCTAAGAAAAAGAAGAATGCATTCTCACCTCTGAAAAACCCAGGTGGTCTCATGGTTATTTTTGAGTTTTCTAACAAATAAAAAGCTTATTCATTAATGTTTTTGCATTATCTCACTGAAATAGTCCTGGCATGAAAGTTTGGAAAACTACTTAAATATTCTATAAGAGATTTTATACAGGAGAAATGCTGAACAAGCCAGCCAGTTGCCTTTCATGAATGAAAACTTTGTCAATAGCAGACATCCGTATTTTTGTTTCGTAACACAAAATTATTCAGTTTGTTCATTAACTCTAAAACAGCAGCAGAAATTCCTAGGGGAGAAAATAAACAAAGGGAAACCTCTCAAAGTAAGTTGGGTAATGTGGAAAAAATACTTATGCCAGAAAAATCAGTATTTTTCCAAAAACCAGATGGAAAAGACATCACAAAAATAACAGAGAAAGAAACCACAAACCTTCAAATTGTAAAATAATAATAGTGTTTCTTTTTTTTTTTGATCCAAAATATAATTATTAAAACTATTACTCCTAGATCAAAATTCATATCTAATCCACTATTATTAAGGGAAAACATTATTCCAGAACTGAACAATTTTAATACCACTTTTCCCACATATTTTGAATTATAAATCACTCCATCAACTATGAGATATTTAGTGTCAGTAGTATCTTTATGTTGCTGACACCTATATGGTTTGAATTATTTCTACTATATTCTTAACTAAGTTTGAATACACTTTCCTTACAAACAGTTTGCTGTTAGGAAGATGGTGATGCTTATGGCATTCATTTGCTTCCAAGGGTTTTATTTGCATCAAAAGGAAGAAACACTTCAAGTTCTCTGAAGCAAATTTGTACAATTTATTCAGTAGATGAATGAGAAAATCGCTCACTTGGAATCCTATATAGTATATACAGCATGGACATTGAAAATCATTTGCAACATCTATTATGAAAGTCAAACTCTAAGATGCAATGAATGATTATGAGGTTTTACATTCTGATCTAATGCGGAAATTGCACTGACTTACAGGAAACGCGAACTCTGTCATGTTTCCTAAACAATTATATATGATTGCAGCTTGTATGGCCCTATGCTATTTTAGCTTAGTCAAACCAAGATTAAATGCATCATAGATCAGCACAGAATGTGATTGCTGCCACCCAAATAAAATTGGGTTTGAATAGTCATCCATGAAGTTCAGCAGGGAAGTAA